GTTGTAGCGGTAAATAAACCTCCGAAATCAATAGCTCTCTAAGTTTTCGACATTGAATGCTGACCATATTAGTTTTAATGGACTCACTTAGTTGAAGGCGCTCGATCGTGCATACGCATCAGATCACGAGTGGGGACTCCGTGCTTAACATCCCCAGCAATCACTAGCCAGTCTAGATCAGTCGATCGTCGATATATTGATAGCCTATCAAATATATCTTCGAACCTCCTCGCTTCTATCTTTTGATTTCACTTGGTGGGTATGATCCATAGTAGGTGCTACTGGTTAAATCGTTGTCAAACTCAAAATATCTGTGGCATCTTCATTATATTAGAATTCTGAGACTGCTAAATATCTATACTCTACAGCGTTTTAGAAGTTTATAATTGTTATAAATCACATATAAAGGGCGCTTGGTATGAGCTGTGACTTTAAAGAACGCGCACGTTGTTTCCGGCGTTCAAAGCTCCATAGAGGTGCTGCTAGCTGCTCTTGCTAGAGTAAAATATGGCTAGAGCCTTTAGATAAGAGAACACAGTGGTGAAGAACAATGAGCTGTGATACGCAGTAAGGTAGACCGGATTCAAATGATGGAGGTAGAGTCGAAAATATAATAAAGAGGGCTGTCTATTAGGATGAAAAGTGAATCGAAAAAGACTAAACTGTTAAGAAAAGTTAATAACTGTAGCCCTTATTGTCCGTTTTTTAATCCTCCTTTTTATCTGACGCCAACCACTAGGTAATAATATAAAATTTTGAGTAAGTATGTCATAGTTTATCTTAGTAGGGTAGCGGAATAAATATAAAACTGGAAACATGAGTCTAAGTAGTGAGCATAGGCGAACAATATCAATAGCACTGAGTGGTCTCTTCTTCCGCTCTACAAATGTGAGTGGATTGGAGTAAATGCCTTCACCATCAGTAAGTTCACTCTTCTTCCTTTTGTGATGTTAGACTCATTAAAGGTTTATTTGTGGGTGACACGTTATATCTCATCTGTTACTCTATGTTCCACATCCTGTTGGGAAGCATTATTTCTAAAATTACAATTTTACAAGCCCATCAGGCATTTACAAATTATGAATTGTCAGTAAGGCATCGATGTAATGATTTAGGTGAATATGGAATAAATAATGGGTATCTAAAAAAGGTATGATAAATTTTTAATCACAGTAAGTGAAAACGTTTGGGAACACAATGGTCATAAATACGGCAATGGGTAATGAATAAACGTTAGTGGTAAGTCAGCAAAGTGTAGGTGAAAGTAGTAGGCTGATGTCAAATAAACAAGAAGGAACCTACATCAGCTTGGTGCTGATGAGATTTTGTGCCATCCTAAACAAAGCAAGCGTTTGATTCGACCGGTTGTTTACTGGTAACCTATTCCAGAGGCTTGTGTGCGAAAAATAAAGTTAATCTTAATTTGCTTGGTGTTCTCTATATCTTATGCGTAAAGTCCTGATTTTGAAGGTTATAATAAATATTTTCCTCAAATTTTAGTATATCACAATTCATTGCAGTTTTGTTACAGAACATTTTGAAAAGTAAGGTAAGGATGAGTTTAATTCGTCTTTACCATAAAGGATCTCATTTTCATGCTCCATATGCTCAACATAATAGTTCTGGCGTGAGGAGTCTTGTAAGGTGTCGTTGTACTTTTACAATTTTTTGCCGGTCTAGGGAGCGTATGCAACTGGGCAGTATTCTAGTAGAGGACGAACACATACCATATGTAGGATCAGGCCCATTGCGCCAGGGCGGTACAATTTACGCTGATAATACCGGATCCCTACAGTGACACCCTAATTTCAGAGTCTTCTGAATGTTGAATGCGTATTTAAATGAAAATATTCCTGGCCGGGCGAGCATCGCACTGTAAATGAAGGAAGCTCACACCATGAAGCACCAAGTCGTGACTGGAATGGATTGTCTACAACATTGCATTTGCGTAAATTACACTTAAGACAAGCGTCGAGTTTTCTTCCGAATTACGAGCTATAATCCTTTTCATTCCCTGGAAATTAGTATCTTCGTTAATGAATAATAGATGGTGCTCGAAGGGGATCAAACGCGATCAACATTCAGAGGCCACCATTGTTGTCACTGAGAGATGAACCCTGACAGATGCTCATGGGCTCTGTGAGGGTCGAATAATTCCAATATCTAGTGTACTGTCAAATACGCTTTTCATCAGTCTAAGGTTTTTACAAGCTAGTCGGTCGCTTTTTAACAAGGCACGTCGTTCTCAGATAGTAATGCGATGCATAAAACCACTGGTTGTGCATCTTACCTAGATGATGAATTTGGTTTATTTATAATTTCAACCTCTATTTATAGACTTAATTTTTACTCTTAGTTCGTTTTTTCGCTTTCTGAGTTTAGTAGACCTAAATTTTAGGGAGGGGGGTATTCTGATGTGCTTCCTATTTGGCTGCAGGACTTACTTGGTCCTTAGATTTTTTGGTTCGGGGTCGTAAATCTGTTGACGATATGCATTTCATTGATCTTGAAAACTCGAATGTAACTATATGTACAGGTAACAGACTTGTGTAATATCCTTAATGAGGCAAAATAAGTGGCTGCTTCTATCGGCTGTGGTTGTCACTGTCGCGTTTAACTGCAGTCGCTCCTCAAGATGGACGTCTTGAGTCTGAAAAAATTCCAGGGACGTTTCTACGTCCATATTCTGGAGCCTACAATAATGGGAGTTGCCATGTCTTACAGAGGCTAAAGTGATGGATGCAAATCAAGATTGAATGAGTCAAATGGACAGGAAATGGAAAAGGAAATGACTATTTACTGTATCATATCAAGTCCCTTACTTGATGAGTAAAGTTTATTGATGCTAGTCTTTTGGATCGTGTGAAACCAGAACACTGTTGGTTTTTGTCTCGTGATCAAATTTAAGGATTCAGCCAGAAAATCCTGTAACCTTGCGACTAATTCAGCCTACATTTCTTGTAAATTTAGCTATGTGACCTCATCTGCTTGCTCATTCGGTGATTCGACTATAAGTGTCAATCTAGGTTTCTTAGAGCAAGCAGACAAATCTTGTCTTAATAACGTCTGTTTTAGTTGTTGCCAGATCTGCGTCCACCACCTCGTTACTTCGTCTAATCGGTGGCTGAAAAGTGGATAGGCGAAATCTGCTGATTTAAATTGGTTTTATTCCGAAAAATGAAGCCGATTTGAACAAGAGTTACCATCAGAATTCCTATATCTAACGTAAATAACTGTTTTTATCGGTTGCGACCTGTATAAACGTTTCGCATTTCTCGTGTTCTCTAATGTTTATTTTGGGTTAGCCTCACTTTCGACTAGACTTTCAGTGGCAGTTGACGATGTTTTGAGCTGACCTTTATTCCATCTTCCGAACTTGAGCACTTGAGTAGCAGTCTCTGCAAGACCTTCGTAATTGGCAATGAATTATGTTATAAATGAGTCTTTCGGTAACTCTCCATTGTGTTTGCAACGAACTGCAAGATATACTAAATAAGGTAGAGAAGGATCTTGGTTATATGGTTTCAAACTGTTTTGAGAGCGACGAAGGCTAAATCGAAACCAATCGTGATTAAAAACCGCTCTGCACACTATGTTTTCGTCCGTCAAAATTTAGTGTAGCAAGAACTGATATGGTGATTTACTACCACTAATTAAAGTTTTCACTTGGAAGAGTTTGAGAACACTCCAACTGTACAACAAAACAGGGGGTTCCTTTTTTGTCATCACATACTTGACACACCTTGAGGTGCCGGAAATCTTCTCTCAGGCTTCCATAGTAAGTAATAAATATTTGTACCACACACCTAATTTGATATCTGCAGTTCAAATCAGGATCTGTCTGAGCGAACTAAAGTATGGGGTCAATCCAACAGTATATCAAGAATCTCGATTTCATAATTACAGCAGTGTATATCTCTGCAGTGAGACGCTATGATTTGTTTGCTGACCGTCTTTTTGTACCATGTCTGACATCAAATGAAATACAATAAATGTCACGATGAGAATTTGACCGGAAACTTGTATTTACTAGTGTCCTGGGGGCTGCGTCGTGGTGAGAGTTGTGTATGGATATAGATAACATCATTAGAAATTGCGAAGATTGATGTGATAGTAAATATATAAACTCTGTGATCGGAACAAGCATGAAGTAATGCATTAAGTGGCTCCGAACTCATTGTGATGCCTTTATTCTTGTAGTAGGTTTAGTCGACTGATTTTTATCTGCAAGCTGGGGCAAATATGTTCGTAGAAATTCTTGGTTCTAGCCTTATCATTAGCCTATGGCCTTAACTACTCCCGTGCTTTCCCCTGATCTGATAAATAATTTGGAACTTTTAGTTGGTCGTCAGTGTATTCTTTCATGGATTAGGCGAAACAACCATGGATTGTGTTCCGACATCCACGAGTGTAGCTACCCAATAGTTCCTTAAGATTGTAGGCAAAAATTTTTCTTAATTTAGGATCTTGTCGAGAGCTCAATATTTTCAAAATCTTAAATTCTTACTTTCCACAAGCATGATCTGGTAAGGAGGGACGTTTTTCCTCGAAACGGACAAGGGATATCAGGGATATTCAGTGTTTGACAACGCTGTTTTCGTAGAACCCTTATGATCGTAAGACCCCAGAGACAATCAGACCAGAGGCCGGTATTGAAGGAGTCAGAAGGTGCGTTTGGAAGTTATTCGATATGCCCAGAACTATATGACCTCTACTGACCAGTCTCGAAGGGTGTGTAGCACAGCGTACCCAGTGGTGGTGTGGATGATTGACCGAAAAATCTTGACAAGAGTGTGTCTATTAAGGCTAATGAGGCCAGAATCAGTTTCCGAGACTTACGAAACTACTTATATCGAGGATTTATATATCGCTACGTAGCGATATTTTTTTTCGCGTTATTGCAATGTCTGATTCTGCAAAGCTTAGGATGAAGGTCCAGAAATGATATTCGGAGGCTAAGTTTCTGATATTCGTACAACTTGTACACTTCGCGATTTGTCACAATGATTGTTTAATAAGACGATACGTGAACGGTGTTTCAACAGACCTTTGAGTATGTATTTGTTAAATTTACATATATAAAGCAATTCATAGGTAATAAATCTCATCCTATATTGCAATACGAGACTTTTTATGTAACATACTTTTCACGTCATACGTACAATACTTGTGTTTGACTAAGCTTGGATGTTTCGCTACTTGATTTGGTACCCTAAGTCTTGTAAGGCCTGAATGACATTTCTGGTGTTTAGATGTCTCCAACTCCTCCATCCAAACGACAAAAAATACTGACCTCTACAGAAAACAACAATAACAATTTTCATTCAAATACCAGCAACAACTTGTCAAACGTAAGTTGTAAGCTAGAATAATATAATTCTTTTACAGGGGATGGAAGCTAACGGAGAAGTTCCTGATTTGGACGAAAGTCTTTATAGTCGGCAGCTTTATGTCTACGGGGCTGAAGGCATGCGCCGAATGGCAACAACAGACATTCTAGTTATTGGCCTGGAAGGACTTGGGCTCGAAGTCGCTAAAAATATCATTCTAGCTGGAGTTAAATCTGTAACGTTGTGTGATGACACTCAATTATGTATAGCTGACCTCACATCTCACTACTTTGCGGACCTTAATGACATAGGTCATCCACGTGCTGAAATTTGTAAGAATAAGTTAAGCGAGTTGAATAATCATGTGTCTGTCCGCGTGTTAAACAAACATAAACTTGGTGCTGAAGACTTTAGGAAGTTTAGTGTAGTGGTGCTGAACCAGGGATCTGAGGACCTATGTGTGGAGTATGGAGACATTTGTCGGAGTTTAGGTGTCAAATTCGTCGTTGCTTCAACATGTGGACTTTTTGGCAAAGTGTTTTGTGACTTTGGGACAGATTTTGTAGTGTATGACCCAACTGGTGAAGTTCCATCTTCAGTCATGATTCAGCAAATAGAGAAGGTAAAGTTTTTTTCATGAAATTATTGTCTAGAGCAAACAAGGACTTGTAACTTGTTTGGAGGAGACTCGTCATGGGTTTCAAGACGGTGACTATGTAACTTTTTCTGAAGTAAAAGGGATGGTGGAGTTAAACGGTTGTCAACCCCGAAGAGTAACAGTTGTTGGTAAGTATCGTTTCTGCATATGATTTAATTTTCTAGGACCTGATGTATTTTCCATTGGTGACACGTCTAATTTTAGTCCATACATATCTGGTGGGATGTGTACTCTTGTTAAAATGCCATTAAAAATCAACTTTGTAAGTCTCATATATCTTAGTACTATTTCTTTGCAGCTACCTTATCGGACAGCTTATTATTCCCCAGTTTTCATGACGACAGATTTCGTTAAAACTGAGCGTCCCGCACAAATTCATCTCTTCTTCAAGGCCCTCAGTGATTATAAGAATAGCAACGGATCTCTTCCTAAACCTTGGTGCAGGACTGATTCCCGTACTTTTGTGGACTATGTCCATAAAGTCAATCGACAAATGGAAAACACAAACGCTTCAGTCTCATCAATCGATGAAAAACTAGCTATGCTCTTTGGATTCGTTTGTTCAGGTCAATGTTCCCCCGTCTTGGTATGCCATTAGTTTGGTTTAATTTAATTTATATAGTCTTTTATAGGGAGTTTCGCTGCCCAAGAAGTTATGAAGGCTTGCAGCGGTAAGTTCACGCCGCTGCAACAGTGGATGTATTTCGATGCAACTGAGTGCCTCTCGATGAGTTCAGATGAAGATTTTGTAGTCTCAGAGAATGATGCAATGCCAATTGGATCTCGGTATGATGGTCAGATTGCCATATTCGGACGTGCGTTTCAAGAGAAGCTGAAAGGATTGAAGTATTTTATTGTAAGCTTTACTTACTTCATATAACTATGTTTACAGGTTGGTTCAGGTGCAATTGGATGCGAGCTGCTAAAAAACTTCTCGTTGATGGGTGTTGGTGCAGGACCGTCTGGAAAAATTGTTGTGACGGACATGGATCTCATCGAAAGATCAAACCTGAACAGACAGTTCCTGTTTCGTCCATGGGATATCCATAAAATGAAGTCAGTCGTGGCATCAGCCGCTGCTAAATTGATAAATCCAGAGGTTGGTCGTATCGTTTGACTTTTATAACGCAGTAATTAGTTTTCCACCATAATATTCTTACAATGACTTACCGCCCGTCATATATCGCATGAGATGTGAATCATTTAGTACTTGAGTTTCCGTTGCATTAAAGCCTTGATGGGTTACAAGTTAAAACATTTTAGTAAAAATATCTTATGAATATTAAAATTATGATTAAATTAACTAAAACAGCATCACAATTCGAAATATGATGTTCAGTTACCATAAATGTCACTCTGATTTTGTGAAAGACTCGCTATTCTGTCGGGTACAGAACAGGAATGTTTTAATCTCAGAATTCACGTTTGGGATTTCTGGTTGAATGTTTCGTGGTAAACATACAGTCAGTTAGTCAGCCACAACGTAGGACCAGGCACATATATGCATCGGTCCAAGTTGCCATACCTCATTAGCACAGAAAAATGAAAACCGGATTCATAGCAGTTAACGCAATGATTGTAATATGTAGAAGATTTTATGTAAGGATATAGTGCAGTAAGAAAGAATTAGTTCGTAGAAAGATGTGAAGCGATTTTAATCTCATACTTTAAGGGAAGATATAGTGTATACGCCTACGCCATTGTGATCGATTCTGAGCCATGTCACCCAGAGTCTAGCCACTGGCGCGGACCCCAACCGAGTGATCTCCACCTACCAACATACCTAGAAGTTAGTGACTACGACGACTGATGCCACGTCTTGATTTGGCCACCCCTAACCTTCTTCCAACCGTTTCCAACACTAGTAAGCACTGCGCGTCGTGGTGATCGTTAATCAGGTATACGTAACACGGCCCAACCATGACAGTCGACGAGGATTCACAACCTCATCAACTGATTCACCATCCTTCCCTAATACCAGGCGGCTAACTTCGCCATTACTTATAGCATAATGTTCTGCTCATGTTCGCGTCTATGCAGTTATATAAGCTTTTAAACCATCTATTATTGCTTCTAACCATAAATTACGACTATCATGCAAACTCTGATTGTGTCTCTCAACACAGCTCGGTCTAACAGTTAGTAACTTTGTTAGTCTTCGTATTCCCACTCTTCACTTTTTACCGACTACTATTGGATTAATCGGTCACTGAGGTGTAACGTGTGTCCCAACAATCCCAATCCATAAAATTTCACAATCTCATTAATCAATTCACTCCTAATCCATTATTCTATGCCGGAAATCAGAACTGCTCACCTAGGGACTCCGTTGTATGCTTGTAGTACTTCGTAGACTCCCATAATCGAAGTCAGAATTCAGAGCTTTCCCTACTCATGAATTCTATTTCAAGTGAGTAGACTGCTAAACAGTGAAATCCTGTATAGTATACTCGACAGGTATCAAAATGTTCCGATCACACCACATGTGGCACAAGTTGGCAGTACCCAACGAGACCTTGGGATCCCCATCAATATTTTGTCAGATATCAGTCAACCTAGGGTGGTGGACTTCATGTCTTTAACCTAATCAATGAGGAATACCAATGCCGAAAATAAGAGGTTGATAAGGTCCTCAAGCTGTATAAGTTGCTCGACACACTCCACTATTTTATTACCAAGTTAGGTACTAACTCAGACCACCACGAGACCCGAAGTTTCTGTAAAAGACTGATTCACCATGCTATGTGTTGAAAAATAAAAAAAGATGGAAAGAAAAGGGTGGAAATAACCGGGGGATGAGAAAAATTGTGTGATTCACTTTCAGCTACCCAATATAAAGGGTGGGGAGAGTTTGCTCTCCCGAATCGCTCTTACAGTCACTGCTTCCTCGTGGCGGGGATTTTGTATGCGGAATCGAGGAGACATAAACTGGATATCCGGTGCTCAGACCGGGTTAGTCGGTACTGTACATCCACCTATGGGAGTTGGAAAACCGTGATTCCAAACCAATAGTGCACTTGGGCTTCAGGATCCTGAAAGAACAAATGTCGTATGAAACTGTTGTTTGTCACTGGCTACTATGGAGTTGCATCTCCTGACATTGCTTCAGTACACCGTGGATGTGACCTCTGGGTTAAGGAGTCGAGGAGTGGCCCCTTAAGAAATCTACCTGTTTCGGTTCGGGTATTCGGGCAGTATCCCAGGCCACACAAATTCAATGATTTGTGTAGCACATGTATATTTTGGTCCCTCATTCGTAAAAATGTATTTAATTAAATGGTATCCACCGACAGACTACATGACTGAGTGTCGTCATTAGTTCAACTCCGAAAAGTTGAATAGGGTTTAGCAAAAGCAAAAAACGGGTCTGAAAAATGCTTGTCACCGAAATCTCATTTACCTTAATGTCTTAATAACTGATGAAATCTTGGCGCCATTACTAAGGATCTCTTTAATTGTGTCTATGTAAATTATGATATATCGCACTTCATGTCCCTGCCGAATCTTACGTTGACTCTGTATGTTACTGTTAGGAGTTATAATAAGTACTGGCATCGTAACTAACTAGACAACTCTTCAAGGTCCGTCGGAAAGTTCATAGGACTTTTTTGATCTGTTTTAATCAGCTACTGTTTAGAAATATTTTAATCTTAAACAAATGGGAATCGCTTGTCATTTCCGTTATTTTTATATTTCCTAATATAGTACTGTAGAAGCATGTTATATTTATCACGATATAGACCCATGGAAAGTTTTCTACGGTTGGCTTATCCATTTGATAATTTTTTGAACGTCAGAGTTGTGATGTATACGAATTAATGATGACGCGTATTTATTTTATTCTAGCTTAATATTGAAGCTCATGAGAATCGTGTTGGACCGGAGACGGAGAAAATATATGACGACGAATTCTTCGAGAAATTGGATGGAATTGCTAATGCGTTAGACAACGTTGAGGCCCGCACTTATGTTGATCGTCGTTGTGTTTATTATCGCAAACCTCTTTTAGAATCCGGAACCCTGGGAACTAAGGGTAATGTACAGGTTGTTATCCCTTATTTGACAGAATCTTACTCATCTTCACAAGTAAGCTAAACAGTTATAACTTTTTATGAAACATCTAAATGGTCAATTAACGTTAAAGCAGTAATCTGTACTTCTGATCAAAATATATGCTGTATGTCTACTAATAATAAAGCGGTAGCTTAAGCACTTGAATTTAAAACATGAGGTCACTTATTGAGATCCTGAAGTATCTACTTCGATTTGAACAGCTGATTAGTATAACCAGCTCTTGTATTTCAATACTGATCAAACTAACTTGTATCGATAAATAAGTTACATTGCTAATATTATTACTGCTGAGTGACTTGATATTATGTAGAGGTCTATTTTGAGACTAGCTTCGTAAGATCGATTATAAAGGATGTATATAAGTAATCCATTTAATTTTTGTTATATCCTGACGAGAATTACGAATGGTAGACTTAAGAACTACTTATGGACCAATAAGATACATATATTTTTATTGTATAACTGTTAAATAGCTAAGCTATGCATATTCATGTTCCTCTTATTATAAGCGTTATTTTGACTATTATAATTATTATTATAATTATATTATTATAATTATAATTATAATAATAATTATTATTATCCGATTTACCGTTCTGGAGTTATGCCCAGTCTATTAATTAAAGTCTTCCACATTTGCAGCCACTTTTGGCTAGATCTTGTACAAATATTGTTTTCCATTTTGTGGTACGATGTGGTCTGCTTGATTTGTATATAAACCCAGTATGTTTGAAATACATGATTCATATCGCAGAGGTTGAGGTTAGTGTTCTGGACTCGAACAGGCAGGGATGGACAGGGAGAAGGACTGATAAACACTCTAGACTGGTCGTATAGGTTTACTCGTCATTGGTCCGGTCGATAAATCGCTGTTCTTCAATTGGCAGTATCATTACGTTATATATTAATAGTGCACAAGACCACATGCTATAACAATTGTCAATAAAGTTCGAAGTCTAGCAACAAGTTTCTGAGGTTGTGCTTCTAAATTTGTGCTATTGTAGAACAAATCTTGAAGAAGCTAGTTTTACATTAGACTGATTAGGTATACGAAATCCTTCATCTTTCTTAAGCTTGAGTTTATTTATCGTTCATCCTTTAATTAACCTGAATAGTTAATCTTGAAAGTTGGTACAACGAATCATCAGGATACTTTTAACACTGATATTGGCGTTATACAAATTTAGAAACTTACCAGATATATGCAAGTAGAAAATAGTCAAGTCGAGAATAGCTGTTAGTGAACTCACTTTACTTTTCAGTTAGTCTTGAATTCTTGGTAGTGGTCTTACTTTGTTAATGTTAAAATGAAAGAGGTTCTCGGTGTGTGACTCCCAGTGTTTGTTTCTCGTTTTACAGGACCCTCCAGAAAAATCATTCCCTGCGTGCACTCTGAAAAACTTCCCTTATCTGATTGAACATACCCTCCAGTGGGCACGCGATCTGTTTGAAGGACTTTTCGTCCACCAGTCACAAGCAATGAGTTCGTTTTTACAGGTTAGTTATTCATTACATTTGCGAAATACTGGGAACACTTGTCATCAAAAATGTCTTGATCTATAAGTCCTAGTACTTTCGTTCAACTCATGATGACATATATTTGTTTATATTTCATACTGGTTAAATTTTGTGTGGCAAAATCCTATTCATATAAGTTCTATTTGTTATGGTCCTTCAATTTAACCAATTAACCTATGGCTCGTTTAGTGTGAACTGAACTCATAGGAACTACATTTTACGTGACTGGTAAGTTGATAAAGTTCCTATTCAGATCTGGGTGTTTAATACTGTTTAGAAAACAATATATTACTTATTTGATGAAACAGGAAAGAAACTTGGGACAGATGATATCATAAAAGGCCTGAACCCACTCTTGATGGTGAACCATTAGAGATAATCGAGTTCATGGGTCTGAGTAGTTGTTTTGGTGCTTGTAGTGGAGTGAAAAATTGGACCAACCTACGTAAAGTGGGATCCAGAGCACCTTATTTCACTGTGGACGAACGTTGGCGCCGTCCTGATGTTATCCTAACGGTAAATGGTTGTGCCCAGTGCGTTGACAAGGACGGTTATTTTCTGTGGTTGTGAGACAGCCTCTCCGAGTTGAGGATGTTCGGCAGCTATGTTCGATCATTTTTATCTCCAGAGGGCTACTCACTTGCGTTGGTAACCATGTCACTCATAATGAGATCTCCAAGTGTATATTTAAAAGCATTGACGCTAGTTCAATTGATGCAAGTATGCTGAAACACCGACTTCGACAGCGTGTTCATGGTTTAAGAATATTATCCCAATTACTTCCATATTGTGCATCACTTGTCATCTGTGGAGCTGGATGATGAAGACAGGGTTTCATTTTATGAAATAGCGTTTTGCTAATAAAAATTGCTGCATTAGAGTGGAATTTAGACCTATCACCACTGGGTCGTCCCTTAAAAGTCATGTACCGTAAGACGTCTAATATATTTCACAATATAAGCTAATGGGCACCCGGTTGTGGTTTTTTATTATATTCCTAAAAAATTAGGATTCTCTTCACTAAATGAAGTTTCTCAATCTTGGTTTTCAACTGAGCAATATTTCTGACTAAATCTTCTTGGTTAGTTATTGATTGTACTGCCCTTCTCGAATTTATTTCTTCACATCTTTCTCACTTCATTCACGTAACGCACTTTTTATTGGCCTGTTTTACTAGAATTTGTTTCTCGAAATCAATGGAGTCAAAAGTCTCTTTGTGTAGGATACAGTGTGATGTCTGAGTATTTGTCACATGTATCATGTGATAGTTTGTGTTGACGAGTTAGTACTTGAATATCAATTTGATTTTCAAGAAACAACTGCGCTATATTGGGATTGTGACATCTAATATCAGTCATTTGTGGATTCACATTTTCTACGTGTATAGGTCCTTTAATGGCCTTGATAAATGATTATCCATCTAGTTTAAATCTGCTTCATCCACCGTAAGCTGATCAACTGAATAATATAATTACTAATTATGAACCAGACAGTTTGTAAGTTTGCTGTGCTCTTCAGTTTTTATATTCTTCTTATTCAGAACACATAAAAACATAGTAACCAATGAGGATTTGAATAATGTAAGAAATTGTTTCCTTTAATCTGAAAATGAGTACATCTATAGGAGTAAAATATTGTAATAGTAATACACTAACCATGAAAATAAACTAGATCTGTTCCAGTCATGTTATTTTCACACCAGGTTTTTGCTACGTTCTGTATGCAATCAATATATAAACTGGAAAAAATCTTGTTTGGAACAATAATTGAAGTCTTGTACCTGCTGATCTCAGATTTTTGAGTTTTTACGTTGATTAGATTAATATGAAACAATCCTGTCCTTATTTCTTCACCTTTTAGGATCCACCTGGCTTTTTAGAACGAACATTATCAAATCAAGGAAATCAACCTTTGGAAACACTAGAAACTTTGAAAACAAATTTATTAGACAAAAGACCAAGTAGTTTCGAAGATTGTGTCACTTGGGCTAGATTACTCTGGCAGGTAAGTGCGAAAATCTGATATGTCTTTATCAAATTTTCACTCATCGTACTTGTTTGCTTGTCGTACCTCATAACTTCATTATTTCACCTGTACTAATGATCTCAATGACCCTGTGACTAATTATGGATTAAATTAGGTCCAGCTTGACCTATCTAGTTGTGGTTTCCACCGTTCCGATTTTCTTGATTTTGTAAGTTATATTTCTGCTGCCCTAGTAGTACACAGTAATTTCCTCAAGAGGTATTTCCGATTTGTTGGTTAATATGACATATAAGCCAGAAATGTGAAACATCAGTACAATGTCTTTAAATCATTTGCTTGTTAAGGAATTCATTTTCAATATTTCTCACGGGGTTGCTGAATAAAAGTCTTGAGCGTTTCGATTTCAATGGCTGTCTTTTCCGAAGTAACAAACATACATGCCTGGTGTTTTGTTCGCATTACTTTTTCAGGCTCCAATTTGAAACACTTACCATGATTTTAGAAATATCTAAAACAGCTACTTAAGGAGAGTGCTGTTCATCGAGGTCAGAGCTCTCTACAACAAGTCAATGGAATCGTGTATACCACACTAGGGGGTAACTAATTATTTGATTAAGGTTTTTGTAGTAGTTTAGCTAGTGGATGATTGGGAACTTTACTTGCATTTGGTGGAATTTCATTTCCTGACCTGGATGGTTTGGTTGCGGAGGTCAGCGTTCTTTTAAACAACATCAGCACAAACTCCATGTCGACCAAACCACCCAGTTAAGAGAACGAAACCCCACCAAAATCATTCGTCTGGGCTATAAATCTTCACCATTTCAACTCTGCTTGCATTTTGTTTAAGACCTACATTTTTGTACAATTTGACATAACGACCCATCTTATCATTACAGTTAAAATCTTCAGCTAAGGTGGTTCTATCTTCACTACAAGTATGGGTTCATAAATCATTTATTTTTATTATATTCCTTTGAAGTATTCATATCGTTCGGATAAACACTAGGTTTGTTCAACTTCCTCTAGAGTATACTAATCTGTACTCGATACAATTTAAGTCCATCACAGTGTAAAATCTCAGCCTTACGATTCTTTTAATACATAGAGTAAATATACTAGAGCGCTTGAAGCCGTTGGCTATTCGATATTCTACAATTAACTAGTGAATAAAATGTTGTTATTTGATAGATATGTTTAAAGTGAGTTTTCTTTTAGGATTTGTTTTCAAACACAATCGCACAACTTTTGTTCAATTTCCCTCGTGACCATGTCACTTCAACTGGTTCTGATTTTTGGTCAGGAACCAAACGATGCCCTCATCCATTGCAGTTTGATGTAGAAGATGTGAGTTTTTCTTTTGAGTTTGTCCAAATTAAATTTGTTTTTACTCAAGTTCGGAAACACTACTGTACATAATGAAAAAAGCATACATCAATTCATTTCACAAATGACTTTTTTCGTTTATTCCCGGTTACTCATTGTTATCACCAAATTTCTAGTAATCGTTTATTCTAGGGTTAGAAAATTTTTCTCAACCAATTATCTGTCATCTCCACTTGTATCTTAATGCTATTCCATGTATCTATGATTAGTGTTTGAAAAGCTTAGCTGGTGAATAATTGCTTCTCATATTACATGCGGCTTAAAAACGAACACGACCGTTTGAGCATGGGTCGCTGATGATGTGCCAAAAATGTATACGAATTTTCGAAAGACTTCTGTTAGTTAGTATGTGTGATAGCTACAGTTTTCAGTGTGGAATTCGAAATGCTAATCAACGAAAACATTAAACAAAATGCTTGTTCATCCCACAACTAAATAAAAGCCGTTTAGACTACGTTGTTTTATAGCAACATATGCAGAATAACTTCTGTCTATAACATTTAGACCAAACAAATTCATTATTGTTTATCAATCTTCTAGATGGTTAAGTAATGTCAATAATACCCTCAAAATGCGGTTAGGCGATAACTTTACGTCTAATAATGTACAAGGTTGCTAAGTTACATTACGTTACACTGTTTTCGAAGTTCGCGAACAGCTGGGTTTTCGATATTTTGGGTGCAGTTTGAACCTCAAACTTTTTTAACCAATTTCACCATAAAGACCCACAGTTCGTAAAAACTCGAATTGCATATTTGATATTTTAATTACAGACAACACATTTGGAGTTTATTTCGGCGGCTTCAAACCTTCGCGCTGAATGCTATGGTATCCCTCAATGTCGAAACCTGTCCAAGATTTCCGAAATTGTTCAAAGTGTAGTTGTCCCTCCGTTTGTTCCTCGATCAGGCGTACGGATTGATGTAACCGAGGCAGAGGCTCAAGCAAGGTCAGCTGCACCTATGACTGATACATCTCGACTTGAAAAACTTCAGAAAGCTTTACGTAGCTTCAGTAAGTGCTTCACAATGTGCCAGCTACAAAAAGTACCTATTTTTGTTTTCCTATTATATCGGTGCATACTTTCAGAGAATTGATTCTCCAGTATTTATTTTTTTACATATTGTGAAATACAGGTGTTTTTTTCTAAATACTTAACCAGTCTAACTTGAACCATTTTATATTTTGAATGCGTCCCATTTCTAGCTCAATAAAAAAGTGATTTGATGCGTTTGGCGATATGGTCCAAAATAGTTAGCATAAGCGTAGGTGTTCCAATTCTACATTGACATTTTCTTATTTGCTTTGCCCTTTCTTATACCCCTTGTTATTCAAATATCCTTCCATTATTTACTCTGTTAAAAATTGTGGCAACTCGAATGTGTAAATTTTAATGTGAGATTTTACACTAATATTTTCGTTCTATATATTTAACCCTAAGAAGTATACAAGCGCTTCAACTAATGTCAAAAGATTTATTGGGTTATGTCGATGATGTTTTCAATAGTCACGAACTCCAAGTCTTAGTTGATTAAGTCTCTACACAATATTTGTTTACAATCATTTCTTCAGTGTGGTCTTACCACGGAAAATCTAGGTGTATTCAATTTATCAGATATCGTTTTTTTGAAGTACAAATTGACTTCACTAATGTGACCGACTAATTAATAAGTTGGATATTTATTAGATGACTAGATAATTTTTCTAAACTATTAGTCCTTCTTTTTAAGTTAAAGGCGTTACAAAATGACGATACACTGGCACTAGGGTGTTTTGTTTATAAGAAACTGTTGAATAGCCTAATATTTTTGTGTTCGCTGTGATTTCATGTTTGTCGTTTTGGTTTCATTTTTACTACAAAGGCAACACTTCAACATTGCATATAAACGTAATTGAATTTGAGAAAGATGATGATACAAATTTTCATATGGACTTCATCACCACAGCAAGCAATTTAAGGGCCGAGAATTATGAAATCCCTCCAGCTGACCGACTAAAAAGTAAATTAATTGCTGGTAAAATTATCCCTGCAATTGCAACTACAACTAGTTTGGTGGCTGGGCTGGTATGCCTAGAACTACTTAAGGTTTGTAATTATATTTCACCATAATTGTACTTTTCTGTATTTAAGTGATTTGATTTTGTTTCTCTATGGCCAGTGTTATCGACAGACGGTGATAAGTTGTAGATTGTCAAGTGATTTGCTAAAAGCTGTCTTGTATATTTATCAAATGATATAATCTGTAATTGTTGTCTTTTAGTTGCAGAAACCTTCTTCTTTACGGGATAATATGAAACAGAGTAGCTAACAGAGTTACTTGTTAGTTATCGACATACTGTAACAATATTTCCATGTTTAAGTTTTTTGCACTTGAGAGTCGTTTCCTTACACTATGTTGTGAAATCCTTACTAGTTGTAACTATTTGTTCACTTCATTTTTCATGTTACTTTTAGCTTGTTCAAGGACACAAAAAGCTCGAACTGTTCAAAAATGCTTACGTCGATTTAGCGTTGCCCTTTACTTCATTTTATGAACCTGTAGCACCTATCAAGTCAAAATACTACGATACAGAATTTTCTTTATGGGATCGGTTCGAACTTTCAGGCCCTATGACCTTGCAAGGTCTAATTGATTACTTCAAAGTAAGCCTGCTTCTTCATATCCAAACTAATTCACTCTCGTTATTTTAGGATAGTTTGAAGTTAAATGTAACAATGCTATCGCAAGATGTTTCTATGCTCTATGCATTCTTCATGCCAGAAGCAAAGCGTAAGGAACGTCTAGTTATGTCGTAAGTTCATTTTATAGTTTTGTTTCATATTTTACGGATACCATAGATAACCGCATAGTATTTAGGTGACAGTTGACCAACGATGTATATCTTTTTTGAATTAAATAGTTCGAAAGCACTTTTTGAGCAGAGATGGATAGTGATGGTAGCCGTCAATGGAATAGAACTGCTAGCCACCACCCATCTCCCCCCGAGAAAATGCTTTTGACTTAGTTTCAATATCTAGGCAGATATACCCAAAGAGGCTGGTCAACTACAGTCCAAAACGTCAATGGGAAGATTCAAATAACCAATATATGTAGATTAAATGGTTCAAATTTATGAGATTAATTTGCCACTAAATACAATATCAAATCGATTAGTTGTAGATTAGTTGGTGACAAAACAATTTTTGATGTGGTGGGTGTTGTTTTCGTTCCATGTGTTTCTCAGAGAGTATGGAGTACCATTGTTGTTTATTGGACACTACTTAGTTGTCGGAAACAAGAATTTAGATTGAAATGTTGGGAAAGATTTGAGCTCAGATGGATGATCTCAGTAGAGTTTCGTTCTCTAATATGGATGGTTTAGTTCTGGAGCTTTCGTTGTCCTTCTGGATAACATCAGTAAATAATTCCGATGGAAGCAAAGTACTCGAATTTCTTCACATTTAATCAACATCACTAAAAACATAAATTTGAATTTTATTTTGCATGCAATTATTGCACTGAAATTTCAACAGCTTGGTAGTTGGCAAAATGGTTTTAGAAAATGTATGTATTAAATACTTGTTGTGTGTTGGTTCTCAGCCACAGTTACCATGTGTAAATGAAGTGTTAAGTCCGGATACATCTGAGCTGGATTGGTACTTTTTAATGACAAAGTGTAAAATATGGTAGTTCAGAAATACATCCTATTTTCGTCATATTCCTAGATTAAAAGGATCGGGTTATTAGAAAGGTTTGCTTATTCGTCAGTCAGTCATAATCAGCGCAGAACCTGGCATATTTGTATATCGGTTCAAGTTGCCATGCACTATTAGCACAGCATGACAAAATCGTTAGAACAAACCATAGACTAGTAGAATTATTGACCGTAATAATGGTAGTTTAAAGGATTAGCTGTCGAAGTTACAATTCAGTAAATAATTATAGATTAGTGGGATAATTTTATAGGGTAATCTAGAAACTTAAGAACTAAGTCAAGACAAGGAGTAAATTTACTTGCGTCATTGGAAACGATTTAGAACACTGTCACTTGAAAGCCAACCATTGTTTACGATGATCAAGCCTACCTCAACCAAGTAGTCTACATTTACCTATATTAGCCAGTCGAACAGTCAATATCTTCATGGACTGATACCCAAGTCTTGGCTCGAACTCCGCTAGCTTCTAGACTACTACGCCATCCGTTGTCGCTCATCGAGGTAGTTGGTGGATGAGGATACGGAACACATGTTCTCACCATCTCAGTAGATGTATATTCGCTATATTATCTATCCATTAACCAGCATTACCTCGTACTATGGGTATAACCCTAGAATTGCTATCTCATAGTCTTCAAAATATACGAACGATTGTTTGAAGACACATTTAGTTGGATATTAGTAACCTATAAATATACTTTTCTAAGAATCACATTTACAGCCATGAAATAGAATGAAACAATTTAGTTTTTAGTTCAATTGTTGTTCCTATCTACCAAGGACAATCATTTCGAACCAGCCAACATTTCGCAAATATATTCTCTCTGTATATTTTCATATGTTTCACAAATTGTATTTTCTTTTCTTTCTGTTCACTCAAAACCTATTTGACTAATACATATAATATTATGGAGACTAACCGATGTACATGTGTTCCCGATCCTACGTTGTTGTAGCCGACTAACTGACTGACGGATACGTATAATATCATGAAAGCATTGGTTAAGAGCTCAAGATTTTTATAATACTCAATCAGGTGTTATTATTAGTGTGATTAACTTCTCTAAAGTTAGATGTTTCGAAGTATTTTTGTATATTAAACATGAACCATGTCTATCATTTCTTTGAATGTTTTCATTTCAAATTAATATAATTACATCGTAAATCTTGGAGTAACATACAAGGAGCCCGTGCCGCTAGTTTATGGGGTGATCACTGGATTCTCTTTCACTTTTACTTTAATGCTAAGTGATTAGAAAATATCAAAGTCCCATAGAATGATTATCCAGTTTTCTATTGCTTAAATGTGTATTTTTTTCAGATTAAAAGATCTGGTGGAAGTAGTCAATAAACGCAAAATACCTCCCCATGTTAAAGTACTGGTATTTGATGTCTGTTGCAGTGATGAGCATGATAAAGATGTTGATGTGCCATATATCCGCTATGTACTGGAACCAGCCAAATAAAGTTCATTTATTCATGTCTTTCTCAAATAATACAGGTTTCAAATTGATGATTACTCCTTTACGAAACCAAACTATTTTTCACCCATTTTAATTTATGGAATATTCCAAAGACAATATATGCTTTCCCTATTATTTGTGTACTAGCTGTGTATGAATTAACACGCAAATAAAATGAATAATCAATTAATTTTTATGTATTCTGAGAATACAGAAAGCTATGGACATAATCTTTTTACTCAATTTTACCGTATATCAATTTGTATAATCTAAGTTGATATTTATGTCGAGCATCAGTTTTTTCTCTGCAATCGACTCATTTTTCGTATAGAAAGCTTTAAAATATATGTTTACTTCCGAATGATTTAACTTGATGGATTATTTTCTGTATCAGTTTTCTTTATTCAATGTTCTAATTTCGGAGTGTTAGTTATCAGCAATATTTACAAATACATGGTTTACGTTACTAGCAATTTGCGTTGTGAACATCATATTTCCTACAATCTATGGCGCGCGTTCTGTTTTAATTTATTGAATCCTTGTCACCAAATGCCTTTGTACGACCGAGGGTGGGGGATAGTCACCTCTCCCTCTCAAAATACTCTCACGTGGCCACGCGTGTACAGCCACTACCAGGGAAATCCTACTCACTGCCTTCTCGCGGTGGGGTGTTGTTTACGGAATTGAGAGGACGAAAGCGAAGGTCTGGCGCTCCAACCGAGTTGGTGGATGCGGAGGGTTCACCTAGGGCTATCGGAAAACCCTGATTCTAAACCAATGGTGGACATGGGCTCCAGTATCCTGAGGAAACAAATGGCGTATGAACCAATTATTGGACGCCGACTATTACGAGACTGCATCTCCTGACGTTGCTCCAGGCGTCACCTAAGAAAACCATTTGCTTCGGTCTGGGCACCAAGGCAGTATCACAGCCCACACACAAATCATGTGACTTGTGTGGCGCATATGTATTCGGTGTTCCTTTGTACCAATATTTTTGTTTGAATCTTGCGAGGCGGCATCGTGGATGCGCACTGCTGAGGCATCCCACAATAGGAAGAAACGGCCGTCCAGTGTTTCCAGGCTTTCCATGATGGTCTAGCTTCAATTGACTCATGATCTGAACTATTAAGATTACAATATTTATGTGTTCAAATAAATAGAATATTGAGTGCTGGTTAGTTTATTGATGTAATATATGAACAGTGAGGTTTTTCGAATTCTACTGAGCGAATATAAAAACGCTGTATTTCTTACTGCAGCGTCTAAGATCCGTTCTTTCGGATGCTAGTGAAACTGCAGTTTTCCTTGATTACATATTTTTGAATCCTAAACAAAGAAAACTAGTTATCAAAATAATTTTACTAAATGGTCGTCATTATGAAATATGAGGAACATCTTAGATCTATTGAGTAAACTTTCTTAATGATCTAGGTATTACATATATCTGGAAATATCGGTGTGTTTCTTGCTTTATTCTGCTTATTATTTGAACTTACGGTAGCAGCAAACATATGTGATCTCCTTCGCTGGTTCATGCATTGCTGTCACGACGAGGAGTCTTGGATTTCTAATTTCCTCTGAAAATGTTTTGAAGCACAGATTTTTGGTTAGTCTCACTATGGGATCTCAATTTCTTTAATAGCACTATTTTGTACGTCAAACTTTGGAAATTAATTTAGGTTTTTGTGTTTCTAGTCTTAATCATTTTGATCCTGACTACCATTGTACAGCAGTGAGGTCTCGGTGAGTAGTTATTATCCATATCATAAATCTGACTAATAGTTTTGAGCTGTTACAGTAAGAGGGGGGGTTATTGCTTCTCAATTACCCACGCCATGGAAGGATAATTCTTACTGAGGGACCTGAGAGCATGACTTCACATAGCAAAGCGTAGTTGGCTGACGTACTAGCTATGTACTTTTCACCCTTCTCTGTCATCACAGAAACCAGTGGGACTAGGTGAGGTATGCTACTTTTGGGATTGATACTTGTAGAAGAGGATCCCGACATATATAAAGCACCTTACTATCATTATGCTATAGTCATTGGCAGTACGACTTCTTTCTAAAATTTAGGCCATCTGCTACGAGATCTTGTATTTAATTACAACTTCGTTTATTTTATCACATCTTCCTTTGGTTTTTAGTATCTCGTATAGCCTCAGCTGTGATAGATCAGTACACTGCATTACAAACGATCCCAACCGTTGTTGCTACCATGACGTGGTGGTCGGGCTTGCCTATTGTGATGAAGCAACCGAGTTATACTGGCTGGAACAACCGTCACTCAAGGTCCTACCATGTCAAACAGATCGGCTGAAGAGCGGTAGGACTAAAAGCAACAAACCCAAGGTCCGAAGGCGAAGTCGTACTGCTGACTGTACAGAGGTGTGACAGCAGTAAGGTGTTTCCTTCAGACAACCAACATGACAGCGATGCTGCCTTCCCACCAGGAGGGGTGGGTCCAGAAATGGTCGACCCTAAAGATGCACACCTCGTCTTATCCCACGGATACCCGTCTCCGGCGGTAAGGTCTCAACAAGTACGGAGCTAACACAAAAATTACCCATAAAAAGGTCGTGTGTGACCGACCTCAAGCAGTTGTCCCTTGGGCCCTGCGGTCACGCTCTCAGGTCACTAAGACCACCTCTAATTCAGTTTGCTTTTCAGGTACCTCTAGAAGAACCCTTTCACGATGTGGGCAACCGAGAAGTGATAACCGTCCTCATACCTCTAACAGCACTCAAGACCTATTACAAACGATGTGATCATACGTTACCTTCTTATGATGTTTGTATTGGAAATAAAGTCAAATCAGATGAGTGAGAATCTGTGCTGCGTATAAGTGGAGCACTCGCACGCTAGAACCCTCCCAAGTCGCAAATGAGAAGACAAATGAAAGGAATGTTATTCTAAACAGTGCCATTTATGGTACAAAACTGCCAGGTATATATCGTTTCTAGAAAAAAACGAAATTATCATTATAGTTATCCAATCCGCCCCTAAATGCCTGGTATGGCCGAGAGTGGAGTGGGCCCTACCTCCCTCTCGAAATGCTCTCACATGGCCACGCGTATACAGCCTCTGCCAGGGAAGTCCTATTCACTGCCTTCTCGTGGCGGGAGTGTTTACGAAAATGAGAGGAAAAGCGAATGTTCGGCGCTTTAACCGGAGCCCAAACCAATGGTGCACATGGGCTCAAGTATCCTGCAGGAACAAATGGCGTATGAACCAATCGTTAGTCACCGACTACCATGGGACTACATGTCCTTACGATGCTCCACTGCCTTGTGGATCAGACTTTCAGGTCGAGGGCTTCGGGTGTGGCCCCCTACGAAAACCACCTGCTTCAGTCTGGGCACCCGGGCAGTAACCCAGTCCTCACATTAATCGAATGATTTGTTTGGCGTATATCTATTTGGTGCCTCCTTGTACCAATGCTTATGTGTTTACATAAATAATAATAAAGTTATCCGATCCACACACAAGGGGTTGTTGATATCCGTACAATAGGGGAGCTACATGTAGGATTTCTGGAATATTCTTCCAAAAGATGACGAAATATCTTCGGCTCTTTCTGAGCTTAGAGCTTCCTCGAGTTCACCCGTGGACCGTCCTTACACCTCTTTAAGTTCGTTCTGTAAGACTTTTTTCTCGGATCCACCTGAAACTTTGTTACCGCATACCTCTTGCGGTCCATCACTCTCAAAGGTTGTACAGCCTCGCCCGTGCGTCTTTTATCTCTTTTACATTCGTGCTCCTGAGGGCTTTTTCGAGATGAATCCACGAGCAATTCAAACGGTATTCGCTTTATAGGATCAGTGTCCTATCGTCCCTTTGAATTGGATTCATTTGTCTTATACACGTACCAACATTTCTCTGGATTAGGTACAGCACACTTCCGATCTGATATTCTATAACACCTGGTTCCCATTTCCTATTACCTTGATACGATTTGACATGGACCTGCTTAAGGACTTGGTGTCGAAGATTTCTGGGGATAACGAGACGGTGGTCAAACATGATGCACGAATCGACGACTGTCAAAGGATCTCGTCGTCGAAAATATTGTAAGAGCTCGCCATGTAGCGTAGATGAAAGCCACTTGTTGAGTATGTATCGGCGAACAACCTTCAACGCATTACCCTTCTCACTAGCTTCTTTAATGGCTTCGAACGTGACCGGAAGCCCGAAAACTGCGTCTGCCAGTACTATGTGGAACGCAGCCTCAACATCTACGGCAGTTACAAGCACCTCCTCTTCTTGATTTGCATGGGGACCAATTAATCTTGAGAAGGCATCTGCTTGTCCAGAATCCGATATCGGTTAATACTTTATCTTGAAATCAGCCCAGCACTGATGGTTTAAGGTATTTTCTCTTTCGTACATACTACGATGTTGCGTTATATGGTAATGAGGCCAGTAATTTTATATCAGACTCAGGATTCACGACTCAGAATAGAGAACCAGATTAAAACGAGATAAATCTTTATTCAATACAACTACAAGCAGTCTCAATGAGTGCGGAGTACAAATCAATGAGAGGAAAGGAAATCACGTATTCACTATGCTGAGTGTCTGTGCGTCCGCCCTGTGACCAATCATACTTTACTTCCACTACTGCATATCATTATATTTCTGACACTGATACAAAGTCATTGGGGAATGCTGATACGTTAGTAGCTTATAGTTAAACAACAACGATATAGGCTTGGGAGTTACGTAGCCTCAAGCTGTTATTTCCTATGCCCTGTCAAATATCATGTGACAAATCAACAATCAGAATACCGACTTCTATGTCCTTGTTCCACAATAAACCAATTTTTCACTTAAATATATATAATATTCGATTGTTTTTAAGGTTTTAACTAAGCTTTGGATTTTAATAATTCACATCAGAACGTTTTAAAAAATGTCAGTGCCAAAACCTGTTTTATATTGAAATTTATTTTTAAGGCCTAGATTCATAATCGAAAAATACTACTCATTGTGAAATGTAAATAAGCAGTAATCATATCAATAGAAAAAGTAGGAAATTATATAATCATTTTAATTCGACGGGATGTTAAGTATACAACTAGGAACATGAATAATTAGTGAATTGTTTGTTTCGAAAAGAAATAAATACATTAATAACTATGGATATTGGGAAGATGAATTGAAATGGGATGAGAGTATCAAGCACAATACAAAACTTACCTATATCTAGTGTAAAAACAAAAACTGGATTCATTTCTTATGTATACAATCGTTTGATATTAGTTCATGAACAATTTTGGCTAATATAAATGTCGATTTGACAAAGAAGATATCTTTGGAAAGTTGGATAATCTCTGATTGAAACATATCAAAGCAACTACTATCTTTAGTCGTTTTTTTTATGGAAAATCCTTGAGCTACAGATATATATATCTAGTCTTGGGCATCTATGGATCTGTCTTTTTGATATAACGTGGCTAATCAATAATA